AAAAAAATTTTTTTAATGTGTGCAGCTGTGATGGATTGTGTACAACTTGGTGTCAGAATGGTATATTTATACTTCTCATCCAACTACAGTTAAATTCACTGTTTCCAGAAGGTACAGTTTATCAGGACAGTACTTTTTTAAACAATTATGAGCCGAAATGAAATGGGAGTAACAACTTTGTACTTCCTATCTTGTTTAAAAATGTAAGGAGTAGAAAGTACAGATAATTATGTGGAAAATTTAAGGAGTAGAAGTAAAAAGTAGGCTGAAAAATGATTACTCAAGTAAAGTACAGATAACCAAAATAACAAATTACAGCAAAAAAACTAATTTCAGTCCTCTCTTAAGGTCCTGTCACACTAGACAACTTACAGTATGCCAACTTATGAAACATTTTTGTGTCTAAGTTGTTAATAAAAGTTATATATTTGATCAATTTGTTTGAATCACTTTGTACACGCCGAAAAGAAGCTTCCTGTTTGTTTTTTCAATTCCGTCTTCAATGTCTTTAAAAAGTTCATAAGTTGCTATAAGTTGTCTAGTGTGACAGGGCCTTTAACACCATGTTTTTAAACCACAGAGGTTTGTACCAAAGTGTTTGCACACATCACTTTGTGTCTCAAGGCTGTTGTTTCGCTTCTGCTCAGATGAGCACATTAAACAACTAACCCACACTGTTACTGATCAGCACGAACCAGAAGCCAGTCAGAGCTGGTTACTTCTGACATCAGAGATGGAAACTCTTTTTATTTTTGGTGTTGCAAGATGAAGTTAAATATTACAGTGTGCAGATTGGTTCACTGTTTATTCTAAAACATTAGTTTCTGTTTTAGTGAAATCTTTACATCCAATTTATTATCAATTTATTATTACAGGGAACTCTTTTACCATAAACAATGCCAACACTCTCAACACTGAATAATGTTCAGTTAATTAGGAGGAAACTGTAGTGTCTAGTCTAAAAGTGGAGGCCTCTTCTCAGGAATGCACAGATGTACTATGTCTCAGATCCCAGCTTCAGAACTCGATACGTTACCATATTAGGAAAAGGAATATTTCTGGTGAATCTGGTGGACTGTACTGTGAAACCTATAAAAAGGCTTGTATGCCCCTACTCTTCGCCTTCGTCTTCATCTTTTTACCTGGTGATTCATTTGGCTTAGAAGGCCACAATTTGGTTTTTGGCTGTAAATCTCCTGGACTGCAAAATAAAGATTCTTGCTGTTCAACCGGCCTGTTTCAGAGTTTCTCTCTTCAGGAGCAGCAGCAGTTTACAGAACCAAGAAGACGTGGTTTTTACACCTCACTATGTTTAGCACTGTTTATGTTCAGAATTAGTACTGACAAGAAATGGATCAAAATTAATTGTGAACTACATGAAATCTCCCACTGCTGGAGGG